TCTCTCTCTCTCTCTCTCTCCTATCTATCCTGTCTCTCCCTCTCTCTGTCTATCGTCTGTCTGTCTATCTACACTACAATATCTATCTCCCTTCTGTCTCTCCATCTCTCTGCCTCTCTATTTACCTACTTTCTACCTACCTACCTACCGTCTGTCTATCCTGTCTCTCCCTCTTGCTATCTCTCTCTCTCTCTCTCTATCGCCTGCCTGCCTGCCTGCCTATCTATCATCTATCTATCTATCTATCTATCTATCTATCTATCTATCTATCTATCATCTATCTATCTATCTATCTAATATCTCTCTCTCTCTCTCTCTAATCTATCTGTCTAAATCTATTTCTTTATCCATCTATTTTTCTTTGTCTCTCTCCATCTCTATCGCTCTTTATCTCTATCTATCTCTTTCCTTCTCTCTCTCTCTCCATCTATCGTCTGTCTCTCCTGTCTCTCCCCCTCCCTTTATCTATCTCTCTGTCTGCCTCTCTCTCTACCTGCCTACCTACCTATCGTGTCTTATCTATTGTGTCTGTCTCTAGCTAATCTCTCTCTCTCTCTCTCTCCTGTCTGCCTCCATCTATTTATCTATCTTTCCAACTTTTTATCTACCTACCTATCTGTACCTCTCTATCTCTTTATCTCTCTGTGATCGATCCGGTCAGTTTCCCCGCGTTCTTACCATTTCCACCGCGCAACTGTAGATGAGCTTTTCGGCCGTGACGCTGTTAATTTCATCGACGAAACGCTGCTTATCTGAGAAAAACTGGTTCAGCTTTTCGGTCAGCTTCTTGCACATGGCGATGCAGAATTTGTACCTCTCGTTCAGGTTTTTGACAACTGCAAAGGAGGAATAGGAAACAGGAAAAAAATGCAGCCAATTAGCAAATAAAAAATAAAAAAAAATCCCCATTTGGCTCTTTGGCTGTTACGACAGAATGCGAGAGGGTATATGCATAATTTTGTATGTTTTCATTTATTTGTTTAGTCATGTTCATGTAGTGTATAGTGGAGGAGTGGTGCGGTGGCTTAGAGGTGGAGCTCTTGCCTCACAATTGGCTGTGACTTTGATCCTAGGTAGAGGCAGATATATTTCTCTCTCTGGGCACACAATGAGAATAGATCTGCTGAACAAAACTCCTCATTGGCGACAGGAAGGGCACCCGGCCAGTAAACACTCAGCTCCATTCAGTTGCCCTGGCAATGATTTTTTTTTTTTAAACTGCCTTTCTGGGGGGCATGTGACCTTTCTGGAAATCTGGGTGATTTCCTTAGGATATCTTGTGAGGTGAGTGAGACCAGCTGGTATTTTTAAGTGTTCAAATGGACCCAAGGATTTCCTTCTCCTCGATGTGCTTTTTTCTGGAGAGCTTAAATGACCTCTCTGCTAAAGGGTTTCACTTCATGAGCAAGTGCTTGATAGTTATCCACTGCATTTTAAATATTTTCATTCCTCAAGGTGCTCCGGCACTCTGCCTGATTTGTAACTCTGGCTTGCAGGTATTTTTAATCTAATGACTGGTATGTAGGGCAGCTTTTTGCAAGCAAAGAAGCTTTTTATATTTTTGCGCAGGTAATCCTTGACTTGCAACAGTTCATTTAGTGACCATTCAAAGTTACAATGGCACTGAAAAAAGTGACTTACGAGCATTTTTCACACTTATGACCACTGCAGCATCCCCACTGTCATGAGAGGCCAGGCGAGGAGAAGCACCCCTTGACATGAGTGATGCCGAATTGGCCACGTCCAGCCCACTGCAGCCCTCCCCGTAGGTCCTCGTAGCTGCCCGGGCCTCGCCCTGCCCTCTCCAGGGCTCCCCAGGCCTTGGAAACTGGCAAAAAAACACTTGCTAAGCAACTGGCCATTAAGCCTGGTCATTAAACGAGGACCACTTGCATTTGGTTTGCCAGTCACATGGCCACCTGCCCATGCCCACCCCAG